ATATTGTCGATTACAGTCGCTCAAAGAATAATGAGTGTGATATCGAAAATTATTCGGATCTTGATTGATGGCTCAGACGATACACACGATTGTAGAATAAATTAATTACTTATACAAAAAAAAAAAAAAATGTAGGTTTGAATAAATAATTTCACTACAACGTACACAAAATTAAATTAAATAGTTAACTTTTATTTTATGCACAGTTGTTGGTTTGTTTATTTATTTTTAAATTAAATCCAATCCTATACTATGTTATTATTCAGGTTTTATTTACTTAAAAGGTGGGCCAGAAAAACGTTTTTAAAAAAAACTTATTTATCAAATTAAAATTAAAATTTTGAGTAATTATAAAAATATATTCAATATCTACCTACTTCAATTTGTTTAACCTAATATTACACGTCAAAAGTGATGCATTGAAAACGTATTATTATTATTATTATTATTATTAGGTACTGACAAAAATATTAAATAGGAAAACGTTAATAAATAATAATGCGTACCTACATGTTTAAGTATTAGTAAAAGTTGTAAATATACGTTTGATTTATATTTCATATTTACATATTCGTACCTACTATTTACAAACGCATTTTTCGCCTTGGGTAATACTATACTGATTGCGAGTATGAAAACGAGTTGGTAAAATAATAATTATTAAACGTCTAATGCAATATTGTTTCTATGCTATATATTTGAAGGTAGGTAGGTACCTATATAAAAACATAATAGCTGGTATGCTTATATTACCTATATAGTATATAATATTATTAAACTATTTAAAATCGGTGAAATTTTTTTGTCGATACCGTTATATAGTTAGGTACCTGAAAATCGATACCCGTATAATATGCATTAAATGTGTTTGAACGTTTTAAAATGGCTCGGTTTTTGATATATCTACTCCGTATATAAGATGGATGTGAGATTAAAAAAAAAAAAAAAAAAATGCTCTTACACTATTTGTAAAGTCGGTAAATAATATTTTTTTATGCAAAATACTTTTCGAGATTGTATTATGAAAACCTCATAAATTCAACATAGAATGAAAAGTTAACAAAAAAAAAAAAAAAAAAACATTTAGGTACATGCGACGCGCTTAGAAAGTTTGCCATAAAAAGTGTGAGCACTTTTGAAAGTTTGCCTAAACGGTAAAACTACTAACCGTCGGCATTTTATGCATTCGATAAGTAAACGTAATAACTAATAGTGATTATGTGTTCTACCGCGAAGAAAAATTGACTCGAATTTCCTGCGAGGCGAATATTTTCGAAACGGTTCGAAGTGATCCTTTATATCCCATTTTTTTTTTTTAACTACGCTCGCGATGCCGCATGAATATGTTATCGATGTTCGTTTGCGAAATAATAATAATAAAAAAAAGAAACACAAAAAATCACAGCCCGTAGTAAACGGTCGTAAATTTTTAGCACCTCCTTTATATAGGTGGAAAAAAAAGTCGAGTTTTGGGAGCGCACTGTAGGGACCGTCTGGATACCGGCCAAACCAATAATTTCTGTGTTCACATAATGTCTCACGACTTAGGACGAAAAAAAAAAAAAAATGTATATAAACCGTTTTTCCGTCCGACGACGTTGTTTTGCATGTTTTTTTTTCCACACACTGCACGTATATATTATAAGAATGCAGGCGCCATTCGTAATTACACAGTTCATTGGATTTTACGGTCATTGTAAATTTCTGGAAAAAAATAAAAATAACAATAATAACATTCAGTGTAACATATAAAATATATACTCAAAATCGTGTTACCGCGGTATATATTATGTATATTGTTACGACGGTGCTTATAAACCATCATTGTCTTTATGTAGGTATTATGCGCATAGGTATATACGCGCAGGTAGGTAGATATGGTACTCGGGAACCTATGTATAGGTATAGTGTTTTCGGGTGAAACTCTAAACAACACTGTTTTGTAGGTAACCTATACCGTTGAAGGGACACTGCACAGCCGAGTAAAATATATTATGAGTATTAACGTTTCGACCGCGACGCCCAATTGTCTAAAACATACCAATTTCGAAATAACATGGAAAAACACAACTGGGTGTTTTTTTTTTTTTTTTAACCAGCAGATAATTTTAGGGTCGAGACTATCTCTATATACATTATGTATTCGAATTAGGAGGTAGGTATACCTATATTATACATATATATATATACGCACTCGGTGTATACCTCTATCTATGGTTTAATTATTATTTGAAATAACGAGTTACGTCCGCAATGGATATGATGATAATAATATTATGACCACCCGCGTTAGCGATCAGAAATTGACTAACTGCGACCTTGAACTAATGCGTTCGTACTATTATACATTGTGCATGTACACGATAGGTAGGTACCTACAGTGTTTGTCTAGTTAATTTTTTTTCCCAAACCCGCCGAAACGATCGTATCGGCGTTCCCGAAAAGAACAAAAAAAAAATAATGTAAATCTTTGAGCAACAGATCAACACGTCATATATTTTATGCATACCTCCAAATACTTCCTGTAATGCCTAATAATACGTAGGTACGTGTCTAATCGATCGAGTTTTACACTGTACACACACACATAACATAGGTAATATATTATATATTATAAAATACCGACGACGACGACGGCGCACACGTCCGCTGCAGACACCCATCTGCATTTTTGATGTCGTAATTGCGTTGACAGCGTATGTGTAATCCTTACACCCTTCCTTTGGTTTTCTTCTTCTCCTCCTCCTCGTTTACTTTTTTCTTATTTTTTTTTAATTTTCAAAAATGTAGACGTTACCACTACTATACGTAGGTACGCTTCTTGGTGGGCTTTTCAATTGCGTTTCCGTTATTACACTGCCGGCTGTAATGGTATACTATTACGGTCGCGCATACGCTGCCTGCAAAGAGATACATATTAATGACTTAATAATGATACCCGCGGTAAGCCCTTGGCAGACATCTGTCCGGAATTATCATCCGAAAAACCGGCCGTTTCGATTAAAAAAAAATAAAACCTTCCGACGATTTCCTCGTCGTCGGAGCTTCGTGAAATGCAAACGATTTCTATGCGCTGCAGCGTACATAATATAAGTAATAATACATAATAATTATTATTATAATATGTGTAGGTACGAATCAAAAACAATATCAAAAAATACACCGCGGTGACACGAATGATCGTATAATAACATTATAATAACATATTATTACTATTATACAATAAATAATGATTGTGTAATAATAACGTAATAATATTGTAATTAAATTTTATTTTATGGCCCTGCTTCGTCGCAGGGCACCGTACGAATGAAGAATAGACAATAATAATAATATAATATAATGTCTTACCGATAACACTTCAAACCTTCGATTATTTTAATTTTCGAAATCAAATATCACTGTTTTTTTTTTTTTTTTAAACGATTCTCCCATATAATATAAGAGTGTCCATATAGAGTCGTCTAATTTTATGCAAACGACGGCCGAAGAATTTACACAGCAGAACGATTTACATAAAAATAATACTTTATTTGATACGGGTTTTCGGGGGCTATTAAGCGCGTTCGAAAAACAAAAAACCGTATTCTCTACTGAGAGAAAAAAAAAAACCAAACTTTATCGATTACTATTTATACACGGCAATATACAATATTATAATAATAATAATATTATAATATAGTAATGCGTTTAATACCTATATAAATACTATACGCACTGCATAATATCGTAACGTATATAATATATACATATTATGCATAATAATTCAATAGATCGCTGTGGGGTTGGGGGCCCTGCAGCGTACCACAATATTCGTATAGCTAATATGATAATAATAATAATGATATTATAACAGCAATATTCGAAGACCGGCCGAGTGTAATATTTATGTACATAATATATATATATATGTATTATATACCTATACAGTTTATATATATATATTATATACATAAATATAACAGTTTACGACTACACGCGTTGCACGCGGAATACAAAAAACGGACGTTCGTCATCCAGGACGTATAATAATAATAATAATAATGGTTATGGTAATGACGATAATGATAATAATACCTATATATGTTTACGGTATCGATTCGATTTCAATTGCGCATTGTTTGTGTACCTATGATATTATAATGTATACCTAGGTATACATAGTTAGGTATACTCACGTCGGCGGGGAAGTCGTCATGATCCGATGTGCTGCGATATGGTCCGCCACCGCCACCGGCCACCACCCTGCGGTATATACCTGCACACACACAAACCTATACCAACGAGGTGAGTTCAATCAAGAGTAATCGGTTATTGAATTCGAATCGTGTCCTTCGGTGTACCTATACATACCCGCAGTGCTCGCGTATTGTATATTGTATATATATGTATATATAGTACGTAATATAAACGGAAAAAAATATTATTAGAAAAAAAAAAACCTTTACCAATTTAAGTATGTGATGAGGCTTAACCCGGGCAGGGAATCATTATAAAACAGAAAAGAAAAAAAAAAGTAACAAGACGGCGACGTGTGGCCTAAAAATCCTGACCGGCTGTGGGCGGTGCGCTAACAAGGTATGTATACTCACACACACACACACACACACTGTACCGTCGTCGTATATAGACTTGAGGATATTATCCCGTCACTGACCTGTTATTATCGTTACTCGTCTGAAATGAGATCCTTAAAATAAAGAGAATGAATAAAAAAAAGTATATGTATATAAATAATGTGTATTATACATAGGTATAATATTATGTATAGGTACCTACCTCGCGGTCTCCTCGCGGTAATTGCGCAGAGCACGACGACGACGGCGACGCGAACGGGCGACGACGTGTAGACGGTCAAGTGCACACACACACCGGAATCGTGCCCAAACAATTTTTATTTATTTATTTTTTTGGGGGGGAGGCTACCTACCGGGTCGCTTCTATATTATGCGCACACGCACACACACGTCATATTATGTGCAGTGTGTACACGCGCATGTCTACAATTTTTCTCGCTCGCAATTAGGCACGATTTGTTTGTGTGTTTGTCTTATAACATAGTATATCCTCTGGTGGTGTCCGGGGTGGGCAGAGTTAGATCGACCCTCAGGGTGGGGAGGTGTAGTGCCCACAGGTCCGGGGGGTCTGTGGGAAATCGAGTCTCCCGGTGCAGGTGGGTCAACATGGTCAAAATAACTAATCAAAAAAATCAACGCGATGGGATGTCGACCAGGCGAGTTATTACGAGTTATAAATTGTATTATTAGTGAATTCCGGCCGATCCCACCTTTGAACTTCGAATCCGATTGACCTTCGCGGTCGCCCATGACGTTTTTTTTTTGGTCGTTGACGGGACGAGCACTGCAGGGTTAGTGTACACAATACTTATACTCGACGGAAAAGACTGAAACGCCTTCAGGGCACTATCGACCATTACTATATTATTATAACATATACCATAGGTAGACTATATATAGGTTAAACAAACAAGTATTGAAATTCGTATATTTTTAGACGGTAAAACGACTATTTTTATTATATAGGTACAATAATATTATTATCGTGTACAATAATGTATGTATATAAGACAAAACGAAAGAAAAAAAACGTAATCGAGCACAATACTATTATTTTATTCAGTTCGTTTATCGACTTCGAACGTGGTAGGTATAACATAAATATTTAATTGTGTGCAACGCGTTTCGTTAGGTATAATATTATTATCGTAATAATAATATGCGTCCGTTCACTTTTACTTACTTTTAATTTATTAATGACGAGTCGAACGCATATTTGTTTTACATATTATGCACACCGATTATGCACAAAAGCGATATTCTTATACGTTTATAATAATATTATTATACGTACACAATGTGTATTCCCATTATATATAGCCATCGAGGTAGGTATATTATAATATACATATATATAGGATACGAGTGAAGTTTTTAAAACTTTTATTATTTATTTCTCCCTTTACATTTCGTGTCACGTGGTGAATACACGCACACCGAGCTGATTGACAAGTCTAATTAAAATTCAATTCTTTCGCCTTACATTTAAAAAAAAACGTGTCCTCTTGAGTTTCCTCGACTCATTGTAACCAGTCAAATTACAAGAACTGGTTTTTTTTCCCCATCAATGACACCAATAATTTAGTACAACTCGCTCCATGCACCGAATTGATGGTTTTTATCTAACTACAACGACGACGTATTAATTAACTCTATAGAACGCGCGTTGCTCTAAGCTATGGACTATTTATTTAGATAAACCGAATATTTAAATTGTTAAAGTTAAATTATTGGAAATTTGCATTTTATTATTTGGAATCGGGTAGGTGTATTTAATTTTATGAGATAGGACGCAATAAAAATAAATGGTAATATACGGTTCGAACACAAAACTATGTGTGTGTGTGTGTGTGTGCGCTATAAAAAAATCATTTAATAATGAATAATTTTTTGTAGATACGTAACACAACGCCAATGCTTTAAATGGTAATAAATTCACTTTTACGAAAAAAAGATTAGATCGAACGGTATAATATGGGTTCAATGTTCATAGATTATTTCCAATACGACATTATAATAATGTACACATATAAAATAAAATAATATATTATATTGGAAAGCATAATAATAATAATATATTGTGTGTACACTTGCGCAGAATTCCGATAGTAAGTAAACCGACACTACGGGTATGATAATATATTATTATATCATGCGATATGGCTCGAACACGTTCAAACAAATATATTGTTTTAATTATATATATTTGTTGGATTAATAATATTATAACACATCGTGCGTGTACAGTCACACTTGTGCCTATTGGCTATTGTATATCGTAGTGTCTTAGGAGATTTATTGTTGTCATGAGTGGGTCACTGCGGCTGTTCCACTGCGCAGACCTGTAGATTGCCCTTTTGTTGTCTTTTGGAAAACGATTAATCGCCGGATTTCGAAAACCGTCCGGCTTTCGGTGCTCGGAGTTGTCTCCTGGCCGACAATGTACGTCGTTAAAATACATATTATTATATTATGCATTTCTGGTTGCGATTCGATGAGAAAACAAAACATTTGAACATTCCGATCTCCGCGACGATTGATTTTGCAGGAACGGTCGCGCACACCATGTTTGGTACACCGACTTTTAGAAAGAGCATTTACAAGTGCTTATCGAAACGCATCGTTATAAAACCAGTTCCTATATGAAAACGTCGAAAAATATACAAAAACGCAGACATGTAATGTATAGGCACCCAAATGGTATAGGCACCCAAATGGCGGTATAATAAAACCCGGGTACACGCAACGGTGTGAGGAAAAAAAAAATTATAAAATTTGAAACGAAACAATATAATATATTGTTCGATAAGATTAAAAACAACGCTCGTACTGTATAATATACATATATATATATATATATAAGCAACTCGGCACCTGTGACCTATAGGCGCAGTGTTTACAAAGTCATTAACGGTTATGTGTTGGAAAAGTAAGTATTATAATGTCAATATTATACACGTTGGGAGATGAGCGCATACATTATTATTATATAGGTATGTTTTAGGGCCATAAAAACTATACGAAATATCTATACGTCCGCTTTAATGAGGTTTTTTTTTTTTTTTTTTGTTCAATGGTTTTAGTTTTCGAGATAAATATAACATTTATAACTATATAACTACCTATGTATATATACGCATATATAAATAAATATGCTGCAGGTCTATACGCTCCGGTCGATAGTCGTATTATAGGTATAAGTAAAAGCATTACGATAATATAGTCTTATAATAACAGACGACGAGACGATATATAATAATATTTGATCAAAATTATCGATTTCAGTCATGTATTACATTATTTGAATAATAATTATGGCCCGAAAATCATCGCATCATTTATAATTAACGTCCGTCCTTGACAATATATAATATTATTATGATGTACGGCGTACTTAATATACATATATGCTATTATACATTATCGTAATGGCTTATAGAATTTGAAATCATCGACATAACTCGTTGCTGAGCTCCTTACGAAGTTGTCTTAACTGCAGCAGCAGCAGCAGCAGCAGCAGATAACCTGCGACGCCGTTAGTGATTTTGATTTTGATTTTCGATTTCATTTTTCTACTCGAAAAACGATTTTGAGCTCTCTTGATAGTGTTATCGATCTGCGGAAAGTGTCGCACACAACGGAGGGCATTATATATTATAGCTGTATATAATATAACGAGTTAATGAAGACCTGCAGAGGAGATGCGTTGTCGCCGGGTGTTATAATATAGGTACCGCGGCTCGTTTAGAAGTGATTTTAAGAAATGAAAAAAAAAATGTATATGTATACCGTCTTAGGTACCGTCAACCGTCCCCCCGAAGGATGTTTAATGAGAAAAGTTAATAAAACACCTAAAGTTGCTGCAGAAAGTCGGATGGCCGGCAGGTACGGTTCGGGGTACGACCTGCTATATATATGTATACGAGAAATATAATATTATAGCACCGCATAATGTTGTGGCAAGTCATTGCAAGTGATCGTGGCGACGGTGAGTTGGGGGTGGGTTTTTTTTTTTAAGAAAGAAATAATAACCGCGTCATCGAACGGTTACATCAAACGATTTTTGAGTTGATCTGGTTTGAAGACTATATTTTTTAGCAATCTGCGTCCGCTGGTCTTACATATAAACGAAATATAATAATTATTATTCCAGTGTGCTTAGTCACACATAGATTCGGACAGTGTGCGGTCGTCTCGTCGTCGAACTCGATGACTATGATATAATATCGACTAAAGAAACTATAAAAGGATATTGTCACACGCTGTTAGATTATCGAAAAATGAACGAAATCGCACGAATCCTCAGCGAACACGAACCAAGTGGTCACAACGTTTACTGCACTCGGACATAATATAGAGAAACAACAACAATTGATAGATCGAACGAATCGCGGACCTAATGTATACACATTACACTCATATATCTATATATATATACAGAGTGATTCACCAGACATGCTCACCCACATTTCCCCTTCAATAATGTATATTATGCTATATTCAAAATTTGATTTTTGGAACCCGTAATATGTTTAATTAAATACTCGGACACATTATATTTTCAGATATTTAGTTTTTTATACCATTTAAGGAGTGTCCTTGATGCATCTAAATCGAAATTTAAACTAGTAATAAACCAACAGTAATAATCCTTGATAATAATATATTATATAATGGTTTTACATCAAATATTAATTAGGTGTAATATTTAGTGCTATGGTCTAGTACTCATACTATAGGTAATCAGACAATTTTTACAATTGATAAACACATAAAGTGTTAATTTAATGTTAATATGAATTATCATAGTTTTCAAGTTTGAATTCATATTCTCCATATATTTTAAAACCTCTATTATCATCGTGGACTATTCTACATCGTCATATAGTGCTCATATTTTTAAATAATTCAGAAAATACTCTTTTGAAACTCGATCTTTTTTACATCAAAATTTTTTCAACAACTCATCTGCTTAAGAATTTATAGTAAAGTAAGAAGTTCTAATTTGGTGAAATAAAATATGTCGTATCCCAATACAGAACCCTAAACATGCCTTGTGTTTCGAATATATGGTTAGGTTATATATATGTACGGGCTACTGTATAACCTATGGCTAGGTTAGGTATAATGGTATTCAATAGTAGAACCTAACCTATCCCGGTCACACTTGAACATTTCAAATACCCATCAGAATTTGAAGGAACAGTTTATTATGAAAAAAAAAAAATGAATTGCATTGACCATGCTTGGTGAACCGACTTGTATCCTGCGTATAAAAGCCGAGTGATGTGCCGTGAAGCACTCGGTAGACTTAACACCACACACGCGTACACTGGGAACTGCAGGGAAGTATAACCAACCGTGTCATATTGTAGAATCGCTGTGGCAGGCACACACAATGGTCGTATTATTATTTCCTATTATTTCGTTTATTTCGTTATATTTTTTTTTCCTACCGACCACGCGGGTGATCCTGCAGCGTCTCTCCGTACATATATATATATGCACCCGATGACCGTCGTGTTGGACCTGACACCTCTTTCCTTTCAACAAAACATATAATAATATGTGTGGCGCATTATATTATATACGTTTCGTATACATATATATCTGTTATCCCTCTACCTATATTTATATATACATAATATATAAGTATCGAACGTCAATCGCGTCACCGCAATACAATACCGCACGGACTCGGTCAACCCTTTGAGCCTGACCGTCCGTCAAATCGACAGCCGCGTCTTTCC